AAATAAATAAAATCTTTAAAAAAAATAAATAAATAAAAGTATTGTACTAATGTTACATATATTGAAGCCAATAACTGTATTGTGATTATATAAGAGAATATCCCATGCTTAGGAAATACAGAAACATTTCAGGGCAAAGGGCCATGATGTGTGATGTGTGTAACTTTCTACCAAATGGTTCAGAAGAACAATTATATAAATTCATACATACATACAGATAGGGAGAGAGAAAATAAACAGAGCAAATGATAAAGCTAAAGGTGTAAACTGTTAATAAATTAAACTTGTAAGTTTGAAATTATTTGCAAATAGAAAGGTTACAGAAAAATTAACAGTTCTTGCCAGGGCACCTGAGTGGCTCAGTCATTAAGCGTCTGCCTTTGGTTCAGGTCATGATCCCAGGGTCCTGGGATCAAGCCCTACATCGGGCTCTCTGCTCAGCGAAAAGTCTGCTTCTCCCTCTGTCCCTCCCCTGCTTGGGCATGCTCTCTCTCTCTCTCTCAAATAAATAAATAAAATCTTTAAAAAAAAGAAAAGAAAAATTAACAGTTCTTTCCTACATTGGCATTTTTGGCTATCTATTTTCCCTCCATAATATTCCAAATGCAACACAGGAAGAGATGCTTGTGCCAAGTAAGAAGAAAGTGAAAAGATATTTTAACATAATCTTTTATCAGTGATTGAAGCCTGCCAAAGCATTACACACTATCCATCCTCAGCCGAGTCCATGGCAAAGACCAGCAAACACTGGATACTCTAGCAACTTAAATGCAATCATTTCCTACTAATTCCTCCAAACAGGGCTGTGATTCTAAAACCTTTTCACATCCCACAACTTCCAGAATCATCCCATGCACAAAACAAGTCTCTCAGCTGTCTCTCAGACAGGCACTCTCAATGTCAATCAATTGGATTCAATCTGAACTGGAGCATCCTAGTATTTTAAGCCATGTCTAGGTAGCTAGAGAACGTGGAACTCAGGGAGCAGGATTTGCTCATCATACATCCACGGCTCGCCGTCAGAATCCCGTAGCCTCAATGTCTATGCCCTCACGAGGCTCCTATATCGGCACGAGAGGTGCCGACCTCCAATCTGCCATATGCCATCTGACCTAATTTTTTCCCCAAAAGCAGAAGAGGAAACTCTGCCTAAGACCAAAACTATGGGAGAGACTTTTCTCTAAGTCAATCACTGGAGACAGAACCAAAAAGGTCATAACCAAAATTAAAATTTTCAGCCATGCTGAGGAATTAGGAATTACCCATTCTCCAAAACATAGCAGAGACAGAACATATGTATATCGGTAAGTCTTTTCTATCCTTCCTGGTTTCGTTTTATTACTTTCTTGACACTTTTCATATTGACAATCTATAAGCTAAAATACCCATATACTACTTTTTGCTTTGACTTTTTATCCTAGCTATTCCCCCTTATTATTCATTTTTCTCCAAACTTCAATCATAATCTTATTTAACAAATGTTTACCAAGAACCTACTTGACAAAGATGCATTAACCAGACCTACTGGTCCTTACTGGCAGCGGAGGAAAGAATCCAGGTTTTCTGTCTACAAATAATGCCGGAGAAAACGATGATATGAAGACGGTAAGTGCACTGAGGTCAGCTTGCAGAGAAGCATAAGGAGCCAGAAATGAATTATGACCAACTGCAAAAAGGAATAAACTAGTCAAAGCACTAAAATTTAATGAAGACATAATTTTTTAAAGTAGGTAAAACTGAAAAGAAGTTACATGTAACATTATTACAGATTTAAAAGTATGCATATTCTTCTCCATAAAATTTCTCAAATGCAGTTAAAAACACACATGTACAAAACCAAGCAATTATAAGTCCTCTGAAGCATGTAACTGTGATTAGCTGCTACTCTCAGCAATATAAAAATACTTTCACCACAATTACATTCCAGCCTGTAATGTAATTCAAAACAAACAAGTCAGACATCGCTCAAATGGCAGAAACAACAAATACAGATGCTTTGCATCAAGGAAATGAATCCACTGAAGAAATGCAACAGGGGCCCGGAGCTGGGCTTCTGGTGGAACAGTGAGGCCCCCTTCTGGGCAGATGCAGCGAACCCAGTGTGGCTCTGCAAGGCTGTTCTCTCACTTACTGCTGCAGTCAGAAAGCTGAGTCTCTGGGACTTCCTGCTGCAGAGACCCTTTCCAGGGTTGTGTGCACATTTTTAAATTTTAGATGTTAATTCTAAATCTGGACTTTTATAAAAATAAATAACAACTTGATTTCAGATTAAATGAACCAGTGTATTTAACTGTGCAACACTGGCAGTCCCAACCCCAAATGCCACATCCATCCCCTTTTCCCTGTTCTTTTTCTTATTGCCATAATTCTTAACATCTTCTAAAATACTATATAATCTATAAGGTGTAGTATCTGTCTCCCCCTGCTAGAATAGCAGCACCATGTTCTGTTCATGGATTCGATGAACAAACGGAGCCGGGCGTAGTACAGGGGCTCAATAATAAAGAAGGAATTGTCTCAGTTATGCTTCTATCTTTTATTTTTAAGAAAATATTCATCTTCATCTTCAAAGAAAGCATAAGTACGGTTTTATTATAGCTATATGCTATGATTTAAAAACGATGCGCAAGTACTTGTTTTAAAAATATGCATTTTCTCTAACTGCTTTATAAAAACAAAAAAAAAACACAAAAAAACCAAAACCGAACAAACAAACAAAAACGTGTTCTGAGGAGCACGCATTCATAGTCTAGATGTACACAACTCCTATACAGATTCCAAGGAAGTCACGGGCCCTCAACCCCTGGGAGAACAGAGTGGCTACAAAGAATAGAGGATCCGATTCTGAAAAGCAGGTGTCCACGGTGTGGCGCACTCCAGCCTGGACACACGCCCGCTAACTGGGTCCGGATGCACATTCGCTGAAACAGCACTTTCCTGGCCTAGGCACAGTGATTTTGGCAAGAAGGTTACGTGCTGCTTACTAATTTCTAAAACCTCGATCTTTATTTTTTTTCCCCCTTCTTAAAATGTTCTTTAAGCTTATGGAAAAGCTAATCATTGTTTATAATTGGGAGACTTTTAAAAAGTGCTAATTTGTGGGGCGCCTGGGTGGCTCAGTCAGTTAAGCGGCTGCCTTCGGCTCAGGTCATGATCCCAGGGTCCTGGGATCGAGCCCCACATC